TTACAAAATTTTACTAAATATTATATGCATTTACATTCTTTTATTCCTAATTCAAAAGAGATTTCTATAACTAAAGAAGAAATTTGGGAATGATGTACTAAAGAAGTTTATGAATTTTGTTATTAGAATAAACTTAAACATCTTTGAGCATATTTATAGCAAAACTGGTATTGTGGTAAACTTTTGAAGTTGTAGGCATAATCTTCAATACCTGATCAAATTTGTATTTTTTATACAAATATATTTGTCAAGTCTCATTAGAAAGTTATTAAGTATAATTATTTACTAAAATTCTTCAGACTATGACTTGATCTTATAATTTACATTATTATTTTATGAATTATTCTATATTACTAACAACAAAATTATAAATATTTTTCTAGGTATAAAGATCCTTCATAGCATAAATATTTTAAAAAGGAATAGGTTTTACTAAAAAAAAACCTTATAATACTAATAATACATATATAACTAATACTAAAAAGTGGTTTTGTAATTTTATTAGATTTTTAATGAACTAATTTGTTTTATGCAAGTATTTAGTCTAATTATCTTCATTTACTACTAGTTTAGCATTTTTTTGTAATATCTAATAACAAGATACTTATCTATTGATATTTATAGCAAGTTAGCAAACTTGTATTTAATTATCAATTAATACTGATACTGATATAGTATTATCAAATAATATATTGAATAATTCTTTGTTAGGTAAAGATTAGTATGTTCAAACTTATGCAATTTGATTTTTTTTTGTTACTAAATCATATAAGTTTGAATATTAAAATAAATACAAATATTAATGATTAAATATTTATTTTAAATTAGATATATTGAATAATATTACTGCAAATATAAATGATAATTCTAATTAGCTTTTTGAAAAATATAATTCAATTTTACAAAATGCATTATCAATTGTACAAGAACAACAAGAAATCATAATTTTAAATAGGCTCAGGATGTTAAAAAAAGCTTTGAAAATATTAGAAAGTTGGTAACTAATATCAAAACATATAAAAGAAGAACAATGAATCTAAGAACATAGAAGGATAATAATAAATATACTATGTATTTACAATTTTAAGGTATTTAAATTTTATATCAACAATGAATAAAAATTGATATGATTTATTAAAAACTAACTTTAAATTTTAAATTTTAATGAATTTAGGATCAATTATAGCATAAATAATATAGCAAAACTATCAATTCTTAAGAGCTAAATGCTCATATATTAGCTTTCACAACTTTGTGATTAATTAATATCTAACTGTAAGTAGGAAAGATAATTATAGTTTAACTTTTTTTAGAAAACATTTCAAAATATTCTTTTGTATAGAATTTTAAAAAGAGAACTTTTAAGTTTGTCTTTTTATTATTCAAATTTTAATAATATGATTAAATTGTTTAGAGAAAAATACTAAAAATAAGCAAGTTGGGATTTTATTGTTAAGAATTATGAATTAAAATGTGTAAAGAGGCAATTCTTTATTGCTTTGCAACTTCGGGAACTGTTAGTTTCAAACTCTAAATATATATTTCCTGATCACTTTGTAAAATTTTAACTTTAAGCAAAAATAACTCGACAATTACCTGACTAAATTAAGTGAATTTTTTATTATTTGAATTCTACTATTTTTTTTGAATTTAAACAAAAAAATTTCATCGAATTTGGTCAGATAGTTGCCAAGTTATCTTCGATCAAAGTTTAAAAAAAAAAATACAAAAACGTAACTTTCAAGTTTTGAGAGAAGATATCTTGACAATCACCCTAGCCAAATTCGATGAAATTTTTTTTGTTTGAATTCTATAAAACAATAGAATTTAAATAAAAAAAAATTTAATCGATTTCATTAGGTTATTAGCTATATATCTTCGATAAAATTTTAAAAAATTCAGATCTATCAAAATTTTTAAAGTTTCACTAAATTTTTTAAGATTTGAGCAAAGATAACTCGACAACGATCTGATCAATTTCAGTAAAGATTTTTTATTTGAATTCTATAATTACAAAGAATTCAAATAAAAAAAAATTCACTCAATTTGGTCAGGTAGTTGCCGAGTTATCTTCACTTAAAGTTTTATTTACCACTAAGTACGTATGAATATCAAAGTGTTCTTGGGGTAGTTTAGAATCTCCACATAACCGTCACTTTTTTTCTGCGCGGCTAGGGTAATAATTTACGGGGGAACCTGACCTGGTCACGTTACGGGTTTCTTTGGTTAACTAATTTTTTTAACCAAAAAAATTGCCAATACAAATCAAGATCTCAGAAATTAATATAAAATTTTTATTAGATTATTATCGTAGTTATAAGTTTAGAGTTAAGGTTAAATTTGAGTTTGGAAAATTCCATTAAAGAGTTTTATTTAAAAAGCAAAGCAAACGAATTAGATATAATATTTAGTAAAATTTTGTAAGCAAATTTTATGACTTTATTGGTAAAATTCATTAGTTGTTTTGACAAAATATAGCCAATCACTTTAAAGTCTTTTTATAAGGATGTCGATTTAAACAGTCAGTGTTTTTGTAAAAATTTTGTAAGAAATCGACAAGAAATTTTGAAATTTAGTCGAATAAGTAATTAGTTTTATATAATTCATTGATTTATTAGGAACCACGAATTCATAATTCCAATTCTTTGAAGTTCAACTAGAATTCTAACATCGTATAAAATCTTGGCAATTTAATATGATCTTATCATCGAATTGTGAATTATAATAATAAATTCGAAGATTATGAATTGTGAGTTTTAATAATAAATTCGAAGTTTATGAGTTGTGAATTTTAGTAATAAATTCGAAGATTATTTTGATTGGTGGTTTGCTTTATCTCTAATTACGCGTGAGTCACATTTATTGTATAAAGAACCCGGAAAGCTGGATGGGGCAGTTAAGGGAGCCAGCAAAAAATAATAATAATAATAATAATAAAATAATTTAGATTTTATGCTTATATATGCATTTGTAACTATTCTTCTACCAATAGAGTAAATACTTATACTCCGATTGGTAAATTAATAAAAAGGAATAAGGAACACAAATTTAATGTTAAGTTTCTTTACCTAGATAAATTATGACATCAGGATTTGCAGAAACAGTATTTACTAATTTGGTGAATAAAATTCTTTGTTTCCGTATATAATAACAAAGAAATAACGAAGAAAATATTAATAGAAATTGAGATACTGTATAATTAATTTAAACAAATAATTTTCTTCTATCTTTTTATGCATAAAAGTTTCGGTACAAAGCGTAATCCGCAGTTTCTCCAAGTTCAATCGCTTACCTTCTTCTGATACCGGGAACAGAAGTCACATTTAAGAAAAGTTGTCAAATAAGGGATACATGTTTCAAAAATCTGGTGTTTCATATTTGTTTTGTTTTCTTTTAGGTTTCGAGTAACATTTTTTAATTTGACTGTTAGCGAGTATTTCCAGATTTCTAAATACGGAATTAAGACGTTTCACATGTAATATATCAATATTAAAGAACAATTTTCACATTATCTGAAGATCATGTAGTGAAGACGATTTTGATTGGTTTCAAATGTACAGAAGTCGACAGTGAATTGTTATCTTATTTGCTATACGCGGCATATTTTTTCTTGATATTTTTTTCATTATTTGGACTAGGATTGTTTTTTTTTTTTTTTTGAATATTTTCTAGGAAATTTAGAATTTGGAATATCGTTGTTTGCATTTCAGGGAAAACAGCGAATAAATTAACATTAATATTTATATTATTGATCCGATTATTAATCATGATTTTAAATGTCAAATACGACCAGCATTTTGCCGATTTTTTTTGCTCCGGCATTGATATTCAGGTTTGAGTTTCATATAATACGTTTGCTAAGACTGGAATACTGGAATCCTGAAATAGCGTTTACTTACAATTTTGAGTTTAAGTTTTATTTAAAAAAATTCAATCGATTATTTTAAATTCATCCGTTGCTTCTTTTAGGTTTTTTTTTTTTTTTTTTAATATCAAAATGTGAAATTTTGAATTCAAGCTAAAAAAAAAAAAAAAAAATATTTACAAGTTCAATTTATAATTGCGATTTTATTTAAGGAGAAATACTGCTTTTAAAGCATCATTTTTAATTTGGGTCACAAATTAAATTAGAAATACCTTTATTGGTTAATTAAGCCCCACGGGCATCGCATCCTATTTGTTTTTTTTTCGTTGTGCGCATGTATGTACGTATGTATGTGCGTACGTAAGCGGATTACTTTTTTATTTTAACGGGTAAAGTCATATTTGCAAGTTCTTTGATTTCTATATAAATGCATTATTTTTGCAATTCTCATTGTGTTACTTCTTAAGGCATCGTAAGACGAATTTTTTAGTATATCGATTATATGATGTTTATTGTTTATATTCTAATTAATTATTATTTAAATTTTTTGTAACTGAATATAACAAAGCTTTAAATTTTACTTATCTGTTATGAATTTATAAATGTATCTATAAATATGGTTCTACCGGCATTGCTTATTCTGTTGAAGTGTGATTGAATGCTCCCTGATTCCCCTACTTATTAAACCTCTTGCAGCGCAAGAAAATTTAGTTCGATTTGTCCCTTCCGTTCCTTTGTCCTAATTGATTATATCAATAACAATAACAGACTCACTTAACTTGGATCTGTATTATTGTTTTCACTCATTTAAAAAAATACATATATATACATATATATACTTTCATTTAAATCCAATAAAAAATTCAATCTTTTTATTTTTTATTTTTTTTTTTTCTTAGACTGTATTTTTTATTTTTTGAAGAATCTTTTACCTTTTACAACCTAATTTTATTCATTACTAACGATAGAAATGGCAATACCACAATCCTCAGTTTCAAAGTTCGGTACATGCCCTAAATGTTCATCACCCCGATTTCATTATAATTGGTGTCGTAAATGTGAATTCTATGCTTATCAATCCCTCTATCCCAAATGGACCTGTCAAAATCAAGATATTGATCTAGTTATTAAGAGCATTCAAGCAAATGCTGGTTCAATCTTTTCATTCATTGAATACATTCCTTATGAAAAGTTTTTGAATATCGAATATATCGGAAAAGGTGGCTTTTCAACTGTTTGGGAGGCTGAGTGGGTTGATGGTCCACGGGATGGACCACCAGTCTTTGAGCATCAGGATGGGGTACAGGGTGAACAGATGCCGAAATGGGAACGGAGTGGCCAGAAGAAAGTTATTTTAAAATCATTACTGGCTTCTCAAAATGTTAAGTCTCAATTCTTTGAAGAGGTATTTATATCAGCTATTTTTAATTTAAATTTCAACAAACGATAATCGACAATTAACATTTAATTAATGACATTTATAGTTAAGGATACTTAGTAGGCACACTCCACCAAATTGCACTTACACGATCCCTGGCCTCCTTCGGTGTTACGGAATAACACGTGATCCCAAAACACATGAATTCATGATGGTTTTTCAACATTGTTCTCGATATGATTTACAAACTTACCTTTCTAGAATTCCTTATACAACATTATTACAATCCCATAAACTTATTTCCCAAATTGTCGGTGGTCTTAAAGAGATCCACAAATCGGGTTTAATTCATAAAAATTTGCACTCTGGTAATATCCTAATTGATGAAAATGGTAATGCTTATATCGGAGACACTGGTCTATGCAAACCCGTTGACCCCGCCAAAATTCGACGTTCATCTGAACCAACAAAATTAACCTTTCGTAAACGCACAAATTCTAGTCCAACTGAATCAATTTCACAACCTATGAATCTTGTTAATAGTGTATTTGGTGTAATGCCATATTTAGCTCCAGAAACTTTAATGTCCGGAATTTATTCAAAATCTTCAAATGTTTATTCCCTTGGTATGATCTTATGGCAAATATGGTCGGGACAACGACCATTTATCGAACGTCCTCATGATAAAACTTTGCAAATTGAAATTTTAAAAAATAATTTGAGACCAATGTTACTTGAGGATATGCCAACTGAATACAAAGAACTTGTCTCCCAGTGTTTGGAATCAGATCCTTCTAATAGACCAAGTATTGATGATATCGAAAGAGTTTTAAAAAGAATGATTTGTGATGATGGAATTAATGTTGAAGGTGTTGTCACAGGTAGTTTGGGATTTGAGATTGGGATCAAAGGAAACGGAGGGATACGAAGGGTCCTATATCAGGAGAGACAAAATGCTTTACCTCATAGGAAGGCAAAATATGTTAGCAGATTAATTTCAACCTTGAATAATAAAACCGATGCATCCGAGAGTGAGTATTTCAATTATTATTAACTTTTGATTCAAAAAGTTATATCATAATAATATTATTATATTAACAATATATTAACAATATTATATTTAAATTTTTTAGTCAAATCAATTCCTTTACAAAAATTACGAAATAGTTCTCAAAGTAATTTGTTAACGCGCCATGACTTTACGAATAAACCTGATTTAGGAACTGTCATTAAAGTAAAACACGACCAAAATGACCCTAGTGATAATCATAGTAATCCTCGTGTAAGTCCACATAATATCCCGCCACGTACCTCTTTGGTTTCGAATGTTTTCGAAAATACGCAAGGCTCTATTATCATCTTAAATGCTTCCGGAAATAATAGAGATTCCAGAATTTTTACAGCTAATAAACAAAATTCTGAGAATTTTTATAAAGGTTTTAATGAATCTAGGGAATTTTCAATTCCAAAAAACAATCGTAAGTTTTCATAAATTTATTTTATTAATATTTTAATTTTATAATTTTATATAATAATTTTTCTTTATTTTTTAAATCAGACATTATTCAAAAATTACAATCAGCGACTGCATTTCAACGTATCTCAAGTATGAATAGATGTCTTATCCCAAACGATGAAGATTTTAGAATGTAAGCGTTTAATTTTCATTTAATTTTGATTGTTATAAACTTGTAACTAATTTACATTATCCTTCTTATAGTCTCATCGACTGGTGTTACTGGGCAAACTAATAAAAATTGTACAAAAGCAAAATCTGAAAATCATAGATATTGTAAATATTGATAAATATAATTTGGGTAAGAGAAGTCCTAGTAAACGCTTTTAATAAGTGTTAATTATCAAAAAATTTAATTAAATGGTAATGGTAATCAAAATATTACATAATTTAATGAATTTACTAAAAGATAGTGTTACCTATTTCATTTAAAAGTAGTGCGGGTTACTATGTAACTTATAAATTTCTCATAGTTGAACTATGAACTTAATAATACACTTTTTTCTCTATCTCTTACATTGTACTATATCATTATAGAACTTGAATTTATGCAAGATGGTGTAAGAGATAATATACTGTGTTTGACTATATATTACAATTGTTGTATTTATATATTAGAGTGTACTACCACGATATATAAAATTTTATATAAACTTTAAAAGAAAAAATTTTTTTAGACCAAAAAAAAAAAAAAACATTAACAAAAGTCTTAAACTTGGTTGTTTAATACTGTTCTACGTTTAGTTACTAGTTTCTATGCGAATCACGAATTAAATAATTGAATATAATTGGACTATATCAAGCTGTTCAATTGTTCAATAAACCAATAGAAATATGTACTTGATTATATAAAATCGGGTGACTGCCAAATTTTGTTTAACGACTTTTTTTATTCATGTATGTACTGTACGTACGTATTAGCGCTAGTGATGCCTGACGAACATAAGTTTCGTCACTTGACGAATTGACGAAAATATATGGTTTCGTCAGGCATCACTAGTATGTACGTACCGTAGCCAACAAAAGTAACGCTGAAAAGGTGCTGGTACGGAACTAGACCGGAGGTTAGGTTACACTAGTGTTCGAGTTCTAACGATTCAACACAATAAATAATCTAAATCCAACAATCAACCCTAAGTGGAAGGCGTCGAAAGAGAGCGTGGAGGATTTGGTCCGGGTTTTAGGATTGTTTGGGGATTTCTTGGAGATATCCTGGTCTCTGCAGATAAGCGTTTTATTATTCTTGATCCTTGGTTCCAGTTATTACTTTTCGGTTCTTACATTTTTAAGAATGATTATAGGGCACGTGATCTGGTTTATTTTCTAATTGGGCCGATGGTTTAATAATGGTGATATCAATAAGGCTAACTATGGGATGATTGATTATTGTTTAATTTGGGCGGGAATTGATTATCACGGTTCTGTGTTTGACAAAAACAGTAACTTTAACAATGAGAACTTATAAGACCAAACGGGAAGATTTAAGAACAGTTAACCCAGTAATCATCACAATGTCATATGACAATAATTCGGCCAAGGTTAGGGTTAGGTTAGGGTTAGTTTAGGGTATAGTTTAGGCCAGTTTTTTTAATTCTAGTAAACAAATGACGTAATTATATGTTTATAATGTGCTCGTCGATCACTGGGTTAACTCTTCTTAGTGTCCCGACCAAACTTCTACTCGAATTTCGAAGTATTGGTTATCAGTCACTGAACTTATTGAGAGTTATTATTTAAACTCTGCAAGTTGTTATTTTTGAACTTCTCAAAGTTCGGAACTCGAAAGTTATAGGAATTACAGAATAGCAGTATGGTATAGGTAACCTGACCAGTATGGTATAGGCAACTAAAACTATACTAATCTGCTATAAACCCTAACCCTAACTATAATTCCGCCCTAATCTTAACCCTAAATTATAACACCTGATCAGTATGGTATAGTTTTTAAAAATCGAGCCTATATACTAATCATGTCACCTATACTATACTGATCTTCGCATAGTCGTTGTTAAACTATCAGCTCAATCAGAAAACAAACCAGATCACGTGCCACGTAAAAGAAATCATCTCTATAACTGATAAGAAAAGGATAAAGAATTGAAGAGTAGAAACGGAAACAACGGGAATAAAGATAAAACACCTAAAGAAATCCCCAAACAATCCTAAACTCGGACCAAATCCTTCATACTCTCTTTCAGCCTTCCACTTAGGGTTGATTGTTGGATTTATTGTGTTGAATCCCTAAGACCCGAATACTGGTGTAACCAACCATAGGCCAAGTTTCGAACCAGAACCGGTTCACACCTTTTCAACGTACACTAAATTTGTCTACTTAACCGATGCAAGTGTTTTTCACGTGACAATTGCCGATCATTGCTGGAGTGCATCTATTTGCGCATCAACACATGATAATCGACCAATCAAATAGAGAAATTTTGATCATCCCGGATCAGCCCGACGAAGCAAAACAAAGCGAAAAAAGTGAAAAACGCGAAAAATATAGGAAACGGTAGTCGAAACCTATCGTGGAGCGTTAATTAAAAGTGTCGGGAAGACAATTTTACTTATAAAAACAATTTACTCTAACCCTAACCCTAACCCTAACCTTAATACAGGTACACGAACCCTAATTCTTAAAAATTGGTTGATGCGCAAATAATTGGCAATCACGTGTTGATGCGCAAATAGATGCATTCATGTTTAATGCAGGTATATATTTATACAAATGTCGCCTAAAATATTTAAGGCTATAGACAGCTTGGACGTTTGAACAGTAGACATATCCAAAAAAACTTTGGACATGCAAAAACGTATAGCAAGCCCTTTATTGTTTTACACTATTTCCAAAATTCCAGGGCGGAAGACATTGAAACCCTGTCGGTTGAGTCAGGTTGGAATCCATAGGAGTCATTATCAGCTAGCATTATGCTATGCTAACTATGCCTATAGAAAATTACGATAGGCATTTTGTGACCGACTTCATTAGTCAGATTTGCAGATAATTTGGTCTGTGAAGATGAGTTATAAAACTCATCTCAACAGGCAAATTTGACCAGATTTTTCAGCTGAAAAAGGGCCGAAAATGACAATTTTTTCAAATGAGTTTTTTTTTTTTTTACATAAATCAATTTAGAATTAAATTAGGATCATTTTTCACTTAAAATACAAAAGTAGTTGTATTAATAAAATTTTGCAGTATAGCTCTTTAAAGGTTTCATTTACTTATAAGATTTATTGATTTTCTGAAAATCTTTTTTTTTTTTTTTTTTTTTTTTTTGTTATTTTCCCACCATATCGATATGATTACTAGTAGTTCTGGATTTTTAGAGATTGTCCTGTTTAATTAAAATTTTAAGAGTTCCATAATTAATTTTTATAATCTCAGAAATTATAGATGTAAACCTCGATTAGTATTCCTCACGGGATGGTGAAAAAGTGTTGATTGGTTCTAGGTTAGAACTCGTCCGGAGGTTTAGTTACACAAAGGTTCAGGACTAACTAATCTACTCTAATTATCCAATAATTCAAAAATCCTAAGTTGGAAAGGCTTGAAAGAGGCGAGGATTAACTTGGTCCGAGTTTAGGGTTACTTAGGTGAGTTGTTGGTTATTAAATTGGGTCTTGGGATTATATTGGGGTTTATACTGGTCTTCTTTACGAATGTTATGGGAATTGGTCACGTTATTGTGATATCACATTTTGATCACGATTTGGTCACAATTTGTTCACGATTTGGGTTACAACTTGGGTATCACGAGGTTTCAAAATTACTGGTGGGTCGATTTTAACAATTACGATATTGATCAATTCAAAATACAATAAAAGAGGATGCAATATGACAATCAATACAATTAAATATCGAATTCAGTGAAACAATTTCACGAGAGGAATTTTTAACGAAATAAAATTGGTAACAAGAATGTTTTTATTAACAAAAGGAGTTTAAACTTGGATACTTCTACTTTTTATTGTTTTCGAAGTTTAGAGCCCAAGAGTCTCCTTTATTGAGATCAAAGGTGAGCGCTTATATACATATTTTCTACATATACAATAAATTTCTAAAATTTCTTAAATTTATCTAATTTTTGTGATTTATCAAATTTTCGAAAATTTCAATAATCACCTTCCGGACCAGGCGCAGTATCGAGATGGGCAATTTCGCCCCTTACAATGGTTCGGGCCTGGGTTTTTAAGACCCGAAGCCGAAAAAAAACCAATGTAGCCAAACAGCGTGTGTTATTTTTGTTTCCAAACTGAGACCCAAAACTAGGGTGGGAAATGGCTGGGTTTCGGTTCGGGTCTGTGGAACACTAGTTTTGATAGCCGGCCAAACCATAAGGATCATATTAAATTGAATAACACGTTATTATTGGTTAATTGTGAGGAATGTGACAATCAACCAATTAAATTACATCATATTCATAAACTTAATTAGTTTCTATCGCTTCTCACTTTAACAAAAGAATAAAGAAAAAAACAGGTCTAGATATGTATTTTTTAAATGTCTATTACG